ATAATTGTGGATCTGAAAGTTTTTATCATTACATGTGTGTAGCTAGCTGTGGTATAGTATCTTCTCTGCTGCCCAAAATGAAACCTTTTTTTCCTCTTCATTTGTGCTGTAAATATGGGTAGACTTTGGGTATCAGTTACTCAGAGAGCTATTTTATTTTCCATGTTTTAATTGCAACATACTTCTCAACTGTTTTTCAGTTGAGAAATTTTTTTGATTACTGTAACTGTCTTATAACACATGAAGAAAAACTCTCACCTTTAAATATCTTACACATTCATTAGCTCTTAATATACAGACCATGTGAGAACCAGCAAATATGACTGAAAGAACAAAGATATTGCTGAATCTGATACCTTCTTTCCTGTCCTTTCATTTTCCTTTGCTTATGATTACTTGTTTCTGTTAGCTGTGTCTAAATTGCCAGTCAAACAGCATCCTTTGTTACGTGGGGTTTAATTTTTGTTATGAGAAGAGTGCCAATCTAACGTTAGATACCATGGTTGCTTCTTTGCCTGGAACTTTTTATTATTTCGGTCATACTTGAGAACTGTTAGTTTTCCACTGTGAAAGCAGAAGGGATGACTCATTCAGTAAGTACCATGTTCCTGAAGGGAATCTGTAGAAATGTAAAAACAGAAACTGCAGAAGCGTTTCTTAGGTTACCTACAGTACTTTATCCATAGCATTTCAATTAGGTGTGGTTTAAACCTTTATTTTTGGCAGCATGGGAAAAATTCTTCAGGAAATGGGGGATTGAATCCAAGTGTGCCTTGAAAATTGTGCAAGATTTTCAATCCAGCAGATGCCCCTGCTAACAGAAGAGGAGTGGAGACCATTTTTGTAGATTCCTACTTTACCCTGCAACCCCCAGAAAACCTGCTCCAGATAATTGTGAGGAAGGAGCATTTGCAGGCTCTGTCTCACGTGCCACAATATCTGGGCTGACCCCTGAACTGCCCAAGGTGGAAAACAATACTCCATTGTATTCGCAACTCCAGAGTGGTTTGAAAGCACCTTATTTTGAAGGTTTGAAGTATTTCTGAGGTCTCAATGAATGTGAATGGCTCCAACTAGATACCTTTTTATCATATCTAAGCTGTGTTTTCTTTCTTGATCTGATATTCTAGTCACTCCTGGGCCAGTAAACATGGAAGAATATTCTGTCCTCCTCAGGCTGAATTTTTCAAGCTCTGCTGGTTGGAAGCCCCCAAATTCTCTCAGGCTATCTTGAACATCATCCTTGGTTACTTCAATTTCCTTTTCTAGATGTCACTGCCTGTTGGCTCTGTTGTTCATCTGGCAGATTTTTAGTACTTTTAGATGAATAGTCTATTGACTGAAATAATTATTTAGAATAGCATTCTGAAACATCGTTCCATGCCTCCAAACTCTCCCCTTTGTTGGTGGCTTTAATTTTTCTTCAGTGAAAAAGTACACACTATATAGTTTTTGCAGGTTTTGTCCCTTCACCTTTCAGATCTTTTCCACACAAATAGACTTGAATCCCTAGCATGGGGTGGGAGGCTTTGAGCTTTTCCTGCACCAATTCAAATAAAGCCAGATTATTTTGTAGGTAACATGCATCAATAGAAAGTGAGGTTGGCAGAAAGAAATCCCACAAAGAGCTATATTTTAAATGCTTGTCTTTCAAGGAAATTCACAGTGCTTCCAAGGTACTGTTTGATATGAAGAAGACATTTGAAATGTTTTGATCTTCAGGCCAAGTGCCGGTTGCTTGGGACTTAGGCTTTTCTCTCCCTCTGTTTGAAGAGCGGGTAGTAGAGCTTATCACAAAATGCAGTTGTGGAGCTTATCACAAAATACAATTCTCTGTGGAAAACTATTCTGAATTAATTTCCAGACCTAGGTTTTCTTAAAAGTTACATATTGAAAAGTGTGCATCATTTAGAAGGAAATTCTAGCTTTTTCTCTCTGTGTGTGGACATTAAAACTCTGGGCTGAACTAGAACATGACAACAAACACAGAGTTGTCAGTGGAAATGCACTCAGGTCCCTCCCACTTCTGTGCCCTTAATGTGTTGTGTGAAAGTGTGTGGCATGGCAATGCATCATCCTATTTCTCTGCCACCCATGCTCCACAGTGGCTACTGGGGTAAGAAAGCACATGACATGACACATGTCTCATGCTACCATTAATTCATACATGTTGCAATGTAAAAGGGAGTTCTTAGAGAGGTGTCAAAATATATGAGAGAGTCAATATAGTATAGTGGTTAAGAATGCAGGTCTGGAAGTCACTCAATCTGGGTTCTGGTCCCTGCTCAGCCATGGAGCCAACTGGGTGACTTCGGGCCAGTCACGGGCTCTCAACTCAACTTACCTCACAGAGATGCTGTTTTGGAGATAAGATTGAAAGCAGAAGAATAAGAATTATGTAAAGCACATTGAGTTTTTTTTTAAAAGGTAGGCTATAAATCAAATAAATAAATGAATATGAGGGTCTTTGGGCTACTAGGGTGGTATATAAATGCAAATAATAAATAGATAAATAGGGATGTGAGGTCTCAATAGGCAGTGTGTCACAGTTGCAACAATCAGGTGAAAAAAGTCTTGACTGTTAAAATTTAAATCCAGATGTTCTCCCTCCCCCTCCCCCCTCTTTCTCTGTGTAAACTGTCAGCATATTTTTTCTTATCAATTATTAAGATTAGAAGCTTATGTTTTCTCTTTTAAGGAAAAGTAGAGTTCTCAGGGTTCAACTGAAGTCCAACTTCCAGCTGGATATTCTGTGCAGTGCCTGCATTTTGTGCCTTTATAGTGTGATTTCCATCGTGGCTTTGGCTCATGGATAAAATATGCAGAGATCCACTTAGGGTCAGGTGTAGTAAGATGTATCTCACTTAAAATGAGTTGCTACTCTGCTGCACTGAAACCAAGGTGTGTGCATAAAGTAAATTTTTCCATTGCCAGTGCTCTAAACATGCCTTTCTATCATAAATATCATCTCAAACTGGAATTCATTACTGTACAGATAGCCCACACAAAAGCCTACACATCACTTTAGTTTCTTTCTAAAATGCTAATTTGGGAATCAGGGTGGGATTTAATGCAGGTGTGTATTTCACCCTAAACTTTTAAAAATGCCTAACAATTGCACCATGACTTCTAAAAATGTTGTTTTAAACAATCCTTTACCTTCATATTTGTCATTTTGTTCCATATAACTTTGTACACATTAGTTCAGTGGTTTTTAAACTGTGCTCTTGGGGAAAATGCTGGAAATGCTTGGAGGAAATCCTTAGAAGATTATCAGAGGTTCCCTGAAAGACAGCGTTCGTTATCTTTGCTTGCTTTGCACGGCTGTGTGGAAGTGTTGTGTACATTGCCAGAACACAGCTCAGGCATGGATATGGCTAGATTCAACTGGTATTGGTGGCAATTAGCATGAACCGAAAGCAGTCATCATATCCTGTCATCCTCTGCAAAACATGGAGGTTTTGCAATGATGCATAGGGTTTCCTCACAGGCAAACTGATATGTAAAGAGCTGCTTGGAGGTAAGATGTTTGTTGACTGCTGTGTTCTGATCCATCTACAGCCACAAGGGGGTGTTAACCCAAGTGAGAGGACAGGAGTCATGGCTGGAAGTCCGTGCTAACCAGAAGCAGGGGCACAATCAGGACCCTGGACAGAACTGATGGGGTTGCTTGGGAGAGAAGTGGCTTGTTTTCAGGACCATGGCTAGTGATTCTGCAGCTACGCCATGACTGCAAGTTGCCTCTGTGTGTCCTGGAGCAACTTCCATAGAGTTTTGGTACAGCTGTCAAAATCACTCTTAAATCACCCTGCCCATGGGTGCACCTTAGGTGGCAATGACTTTTTATGTGGTCATGGCTTATTTTGGGGCAGGGGTAGGCAAGCAACAGCCCCCTGCTTCTGGAATGTGGCCCCTGCTGGGTTCCAAGTGGCCAAAATTAGCCCCTAGACCCAATGGATGTTACCACTTCTGTTCTCAGTGGTAGGATGGGGTTTGGAGTGGTGGCAACATGAGTAAACAATACTTTTTCATTTTCCTGAACTTGGAAGTCCATTTCTCAAGAATCTAATGGCAGTGGTACCTCCCTGAGTTCAGAGGACAGGATACATGATCCAAACTAGGGCGGAGGGGCTTAGGAAGGATTTGGGAGTGAATCTGGCTCTTCCTGGGAGCTTCCACTGCCACTTGAAGCCTCCATGTTCTAAATCTGGGAGAGCCAGTTTGGTGTAGAGCATGGTTAAGAGCATGGGACTGGGACTCAGGCAATCTGGGTTCTAGTCTCCGCTCGGCCATGGAGCCAACTGGGTGACTTTGGGCCAGTCACAGACTCTCAGCCCAGCCTACCTCACAGGGTTCTTGTTGTGGGGAGAAGATGAAGGAAGAGAATGATGTAAGCTGCCTTGAGCCCTTTGTAGGAAAAAGGCAGGATATAAATTGAAATAATAAATAAATAAATCTGCATCTGTGACACTGCAGTGTTTATTATTACATTGTATTTTTAGCCACATTGCATTTATACCTTTCTTCCTCTTTCAAGGAACCCAAAGCAGCTTACAAGATTCTCTTTCTCACCATTTTATCCTCTCAACAACCCTGTAAGGTAGATTAGTTCAAGAATCTGACCAGCCCAAAGGCACCCATTGAGCTTCATGGCTGAGTTGGACTTCATGGCTGACTAGAACCAGGAACTCTCACATTCCAGTCCAGCACTCTAACCACTATACCACACTGGCTTCCAAAAATTAAATATGTGTATTAGCATGTTGTTACAATGATTGTAGGCTAGAAACAGATAGATTGGTTGCTCTCTGCAAAGAAAAATGTTCCCTGTTAATTTGCCTAGAAACAAAGGGTATTTTTTTTTAAAGTTAACTCATACTAATTTTGACATTTTGAGACAGAAAACTTCTGTTTGAACCCAGTTCATAATTTTGTCATAGTTCTTACTGAGCAGATAAGGACATGCATTTTCTAAGCTGCAGTGGTCTGTTCTGTTTCAGATTGTCTTAGAAAACAGCAGCCGAGAAGACAAGCATGAATGTCCGTTCGGTCGAAGTAGTATTGAATTAACAAAGATGCTGTGTGATATCCTGAAAGTAGGAGAATTACGTAAGTCTGTCAATGCATTGTCAAAGCAACCTTGTGTAGTGTACTGGTACAGTTCTGGTGAGCTGTGCCACAGTTAAAAATATTTTTGCTATTGACTCCAATTTGGTGCCTAAAGAGTGAATTACATGGCACATATCTTGAATACTCAAGCATCTTGGCTGGGGGTATTCATTTCAGTTCATTGCTAAATGAAAGTGCAAAAGTATGTGATGGGTTTTTGTAGTCTCCAGGTACTTAACAAGACAAAAGAGCACTGATGTAATAACTACTATTGGTAGTATAATTCAGTGTGTGACTTTCTTCTCAGCAAGAAAGTACTAAGCCCCAGCAGTGAAAAAAACACTGTGCTGTCAGAAGTACTTGCTGAATATAGGCCAAGAGCTGATTTTGAGTTTCTGAAAAATAGTACACAGTGCGTTCCTTTCATTGATGGGAGCAGGGGGATGGATTCTATGTTGACAGGCAAACTTGGTCTATTCTGCCTGGCTCAGATGTTTTCTACATAATTTAAGAGGCATTACTAATTAGTTCTTCTTCATGAAATATTAAATGGTCAAAATGTTCTTCAAAAACAAAAATCAGTGAATCAGCTTTCAAAAATAAAAATGGAAGAACTTGTATCTAATAGTAAAACGTATTTAAATGTGATGGCATGGCATCTCAGTCATATTAAATGTTGCAACAGGCTACTTGTGGCCCTCTAGGTGTTCTGGCCCCCAGTTCCAATGAGCATCAGTCAATGGGAAGGAAGTATGGGAGTTGTAGGTCAAAATATTTGGAAGGCCACAAATTGCACTACGGTACTAGAATACCAAATCAATTTGCCTTATTTTAAATGAATGCTCTCATTGCTGGTATGAGTAAACAATATAAAGGAATGGAGAGAAGGAATTCGTGAACCAAAGGTGCTCTCTTTCTGTTTCTACATCAGCTTAGTGGGCAGAAAAGTAACTTTTCACTAGTAGGCCCATAAAAGGCATTGTTGGTTGCTGCTCCAAGAATGTGGAAACCTTATGGAGATCTGAACAATTCCCAACCCCGACATTTTCTAGAGGTAGAATGACGCACATTAAAGAAAATGGAAGTAGCTTGGAATCTTTAATATGCAGTACTTTATAATCATTTTCATTTTTAGATCTTTGGTTGGAATTAACAGGGACTGCTTTCAACAATTACAACATATTATTTTTTTTCCTTTCCAAGCAAAGCATATTCCTTCCAAAGAAAATATGTTGTTTGATATATCAGGTCATTTCTGCTCCATGAACAAAGAACATATCTGATTTGTTATGCTGAGACTTGCAAACTCGAGCTGTCATTTTAGGAGAGCACACAGAATGATTCCTTCAATTGACAATAAAGGCTACATTGCTCAATAAAATTTGCAGTACCAAAATCATCAGTCACAGTCTAGGGCAAAGTTATATCTGACAGTTTATATGCGTAATATTTCAAAATATGTATTAATGCTGCAAGGGTCCTTTTTGTAGAAATTCATAGCTTCTAGTCTTCCACTGGAATGCATTAAAAATAACTTCTGAGATATATAATTTAAAAGACATGATGAACTACTTCCTCCTTGTGGGATACTTAATGGTCCAAACTTTCTTAAAGTGCAAAGATGGTTGCTCAGTCTTCAAACTACTGAGCAATGTAGCACCTCTTAGGAGAAAAGAGTTTAAAATCTCTCAATTTCATTGCATTTAAACACCCCAAGATACTAAAAGCCCTACTTAAGAATACTGCTTTGCTTTCAGCATTTTGCAGTGCTTCTGTAAATGCTTTGAAAAGCATTAAGGCCATGCGGTATATTTCTTCTACTGTACCTGCAAACTTAAGGGCAGTTGAGTACATCTTTTAAGGGCTGGAACTGCAGTGACTACTGAATGTTGTAGATCAGGTCTCAGTTGCCTTCATCCTAAATGTCTGTTTCCAAAGTTGAACTGATTGCTGTTCTTGTCATGTGAAATACTAGAGTTGGTGCTGGCCGGATCAGTCTTTCAAGCAAAAGGCAATTCTTGTGCTTTCATCTTAATGGCTTGCCATAACTTGATCTAATACATGGACCTTCTGTGAGAAAATGTGACGTGCTCATCTTTAGTATGCATGGATCCCACTTTAAGGGCCAAGCTGTATGTTACTTTAACATGCATAACTGCCGGAGTTCAGACATTTAAGGTGGTGTCAGAGCACTCAGCATTTCCCTTCTCTCCTAAAATCGTCAGCCAGCTCAAGAGGAAACCTGCACTGGTAGTAGCTGTGTATTTCAGTAATGTATAGTGTGAACCAACAAACAATTCTTCAGTACCTTTTTCAGTGCTGTCCTTAGATTGGGCTGTTTACTGAGGGAAATACAGTGGTACCTCAGCAGACAAATGCCTCAGTTCATGACCAAAAATGTTGCCTCCGTTCACAAACTCTGCATCGGGTGATGACCATGATCGCGTCCGCCTCCCTGCAGCGCACCCGCCCCCCCCCCCCCCCAGCACGCCTGCTTCAAATTTTGGAGTCCTGGAACGGATTAAGTTCGTGAGCCAAGGTACCACTGTATTATGCAAATAGATGGAAAATGGAAGCACACAGATCTGAGTGAATTTGCTATCTGTGTTTAGACTTGCTACATGTCTCTTGCTGTGCAATCTTTGGTTTCCTCCTATTATTGCAGATGATTTTGTGCAACCTAAAAGTTCCTCTTTTCAGAGTAGCCATAGCTTGATGTTTACTGTCATATGATTGATTTGAGGGCCATTGAACTGTGAAATAATGGTGGTTGTAAGTGTACAGGAAGACAGCTCTTCTCTCCCTGGCCTGAGTCTTTGCATCGTTATATAACCCTTCTGCTTTCCATGCAAACATTATAATGTCTGGCCAGGCCCTAGTAAGAGACTAAAGGGCATTTTTCTAGAGGAAGACCTTAGCAAGTTCATCATGGAGGGTTTTTGTTCTTTTTTATTTTATTCATTGTGGAATGGTGAAGCAGTCTTTTGATAAGTGAGCTCATATCTATTAAGTAAGCTAAATATTTAAATAGGTATGTATAATAGGGCATTCATCTGTGATGGAAGACATGGGCAACTGCTCCATTACCAATACATTCAACCTGTTCTCCACCTATAATCCTGACCCAAAAATAATGACTACAAAAATCATGTGTGAGACTCAGCACCAAGACTTGAACCTCAGGATCAGCTGAGAGCAATTTCATACAGGGATGGGGGTGGGGGGGTGGGGAGGATTTTCATTTGAGCCATTGATTTTACAATATTTGGGAAGGGCAGATAGTCAAGGTCAATATGCAGAGAGGTCAGCAGAAACAAATTTGAATTGAAAATGTGTTGGTTTAAGTAGAACAAATCCTGCACTCTACATCATCTTCTTCCAGTCCAGCTGAAATGAAATGAGTACTTTTTTCAGTTGCACTGGAAAGCAAATTGAGGCATGCTGAGCACAGAACTAGTGCTGCATCATAAATCAGGATATCTTGTTAGACGTTAATTGATTGATTTGTACTATTTCTGTGCTGCTAAATATTAAGAAAAGTGCTAAGTGATTTCCATATACATATTAAAATTGCAATTAAAATCACATTGAAAATACAGTTCTAAAACAATGCAGCTATAATTACAACAACAATAACAATAATCCAGTAAAGAGCAGTAAAATGGAACAGCATAATTAATTGGTAAGCAAATTACATGTGTGTTGGACATTACTTGTGCTCCTTGCCATAACAGTTCTTTTTTACTGTCTTTTGGAAATACTTATCGGAGTCCAATTTCTTTATTACATATGCCTTAGGGCTGGGATTCAAAGAGTTTCATTAGATAGGACCAAAGGCTTAAGTTTTCATCTTTTCTTTGAGCTCATCATAAATGGTTTGGAACATTGCTTCAGATTAAGAAGTGGTTTGTTACTTAGCAGTGGATATGAGGTGGGTTGCTGCTGTTTAAAAAAATCAAGTTGAAAGTTCTCTTGGGCGCACAGGATGCACGATTTGTTCTATAGTTCTTTGGGTTCTGACCTACATACTCAGCAAATCATTTAACTGACACAGCCAGGAAGCTGAAACTATTATAAATGCAACAGAGGCTTTATTGGAGAATGGCTGAGGTCTTTGAAAGAATCTTCAAGAAAACCTGACAGTTTCCACCATTCTTGCACTTATCTGTCATCCATTTGGCAACAGTGTTTAGCTTTAAACTATTAGAAAATTTAGTGGGGCATATACTGCTCTGTATCTTTGCCAACATATCTTTTTGCCTTGGGCCATAAAAATAATGTAAATGAGTAATTGGAAGAGCCAGAACATTCCGATGGAACCAGCACTGCAATTAGGGCAGGATACTTAACTGCAGCACACTGATTTTCCAGTCGACTTTCAAGTCTCATCTGTCACTTTCCTTCCTGCATAAATGTTCTTGCTAATGAAGTCTTCAGAAAATTAGCTTCTAACAATTAAACTTTGCCTGGCCTTCTCAGTGATGCATAGATCAGTTGAAACCATGACCAGAGAAAGCTACAAGTTGTCAGGTCTTTGCAGATTTTGAAAGAGGTCAGCGCAGTACTGCTGGATCAGTAAAGTGGAGGTCTCTGTGGCCTTTTGTTGAAATTTATTTTGCCTTGGCTCTAAATTATAGCAGGGAAAGTATGACCTGGATTGGGGGGATATGTTTTCTGGTATTGAGGCATATGTGTGGAGTGTTTCCTGCACAGGTTGGGGGATTGTTATAGGTATTACAGGAAACGTATAATGGGATATGATGATGTTCAAGCTGAAAAAACAGATAACCCCATGACATTTGGCTTTTGTGCACATATTCACACAGTACGTACAAAGTACTCTTCTTCACCCAGGCTGTCTTTGGCTCATAATTAAATCAACCATGCTGTTCCCTTTTACTCCTTCCGTAGTGCTCTGTATTATTACTAGTATTGCAATAGTAGTGCTTTTGAATTTATATTTTCAGTGTAATTGTGATTTTAATATTATAAGGAAACCA